TTAACCGCGGTTAATCCTTGTGAAAATGAACCTCGTTTTCTGCATCATTGCATTGATGCATGTTGAACACTCCCATAAAACATTTAGGGCTTCATTTGATCAACAGATTAGGATTATTGGTACATTTGATGTGCATGTCTACGGAGATTCTCAGTCATCCAGATCATGGTTCTCCTAAAGGTGCCTTTTCTAGAGGCAACCGGGCCTTAAAAAAAATCCCCCCCTCCAGTCAAAGCTGGAGAAGCTTCTTGGATAAGAAGCCAAATGTCTTCCAAAAAAACAACAACAAAAAAACACCATGTCCAGTTGACTCTTGAAAAAGCACCTTTGATGTTTGATGTGCATTGATTCTACAGGGACTGTTTGCCGATGTTAAAGGTTTTTTTGAGCTCATGTTGAGCCCATATGAACTGTAATTCCCAAATGAACAGCAATGATTTAAAAAAAACCAAAAATTGTATAAAATAAGGGTTTCTAAATTTTAAGCACATTATAGCCTTCAATCAATGCAAGACAGATATGCAGCTTCAAATCTCATATAGCACTAATCAAGGAGGATCTTTTAATTTGCATAAATTAGCTTACTCTAGACAGGAGGCAGATGGGTATTTTCTGTAAATTATCAGATATGAGTTCTAATGGATCAGACTTGTTTTGTTTTGCATAATTATGGATTTCAGGGTAGAAAGTTTATAGTAGTGATGTGAATAGGCAGAGCAGAACAAAAGCAGAATGAAAAATATGCCTTGTAAAGAATCCTCTCTGTTTCATTTCTCCATATGTTTTTGGTTAAATACTATGCCATAAGTATGAAAAATTCATTTTGTACATTTATAGAAAGTATAGGTCTAAAACTGATGGGAGTCCTGACATGGCAGGAAGATTTGAAAATAAGCAAAAACATTGGCTCTGATTTAGTCTCTTTCCATGCAACCAAATAAAAGGTAACGGATGAGTGTTTTCGAATAACTGCCCAATATTGAAAAATTAATTTAAATATATCAATTTATGCATGAATAAAACAATACATACAAAAAAGTTTTGTGTCTTTTAAGGTATCCTGAAGCAAGTTAAAGATTATATTAAAGAATGTAGCAAATGCCAGGAAAAATTAGATCGTTCTAGATCATTGTCAGACCCTTCTGAAATGCTGGAAGAGCTAGGATTGGATGCAGTTTCTCATGAAGATAGTAATGAAACAGATGATGAAATAAATAATTCCACGACACTGCCAGCAGCATCACCAAAACCAGTGAAAAAGAAACCAATAGCCAAGCATGAACTTGTATTTGTAAGTAAATATTCATATATAATTGGCATGGAAATTTATTTAACATTTACGCTATAAACTCTTTTCATACATAGCATATTTAAGATGATACTTAATTTGCTTTGTTTGTTTTAGTTGTAACAATATGGCTATCTTTTTTGATGCCAGGTTGATAGTAAAGGCCTTGTGAAACAATCTTCTCCAAAACATTCTCAATCAGTTTTGAATCAGTTGAACCAACAGCGGCTTTCTAGTCAGTTCTGTGATGTTACCTTGCTTATTGAGGGAGAAGTGTACAAAGCACACAAATCTATTTTGGCAGCCAACAGTGAATACTTCAGAGAACTTTTTATTGAAAAGGGAGCTGTTTCCAGCCATGAAGCAGTAGTAGATCTTTCAGGTAATGTATCATAATATCAATGAGTTTGTTAAATATGAAGATTTTTTAAAGGCAATTCAATAAACTATATAAAATATATTAAGAAAGACTGTACTGTCAAGTTTTCCTGAAGAAAAGATGCTTGGATTTTTTGTTTATTTGTTGTGCTTTTTGTTTTATTTGACAGGAAGTAATTTGGACAGTGTCCCCCAATTTATTTATTTATTTAGTAAATTTATGTCCTGTCTTTCAGGATAAAAAGGGACCTATTTTACAATAGTGTATCTATTAATATACTACATTTAAATATAACTAAAATTATTTTTATATAGTAATGTTAAATACACAATTATATCATAACATCTTACGACATTAGTGAAAAGCACTGAAGCAAAAATTTACTTAAAACAGAGATAAGGAATGAATGCATTTCTATGCAGACAATTCCTGAGATGTGTGACAGCTATTGAAAAGAGACGCTGTCCACAGTATTCATCAGACTGGCAGACTTCTGTTTTTATAAAATAAATAGCGAGGGTCCACTCTTTCATCAAATCTTTCTAATTTCTTTTGTTTGTTTTGTGTGTGTACGTGCAGGATTTCGGAAGGCCAGTTTCCTCCCTTTGCTAGAATTTGCTTATACTTCAGAATTAGTTTTTGATTTTTGTAACATGGCAGCTGTAGCTGAGCTAGCTCAGCATCTTCTCATGACAGAGGTCTTGGCAATCTGTGAAAATGTACACAAGCAGATGGAAGATAAACAAATCACCGTATATCAAAAAGGAGATGTACAAGTAGTAGAGGTAGCTCAAACTATTTCAGAGCAGAATGAAATTGAAGCTAATCCTGTTGCCAGCACTGAGCAAGCAATAGCTACCGAAGATCCAGGAGCAACGGTGAATGGAACATCTTCAAATACTGAGGCAGAAGAGATGACTGTGTGTGAAACTGCATTGGAAATTGTTTCAGAGCCTCCTGCAAAGAATCTTCCTGAGCTCCCGGTCGATACTCCTGCTTTGGAAACAACAGAAAATGAAGAGAAAGCCCCAGTAGTGGAATGTTCCACAAATCAAACTATAACTGTGGTACAAACTGAACCTTCAGTAGCAGAGCAAGTTATTATTAGTACTCAGGCTGAAAATGAGGCTGATCAAAATATGAATGGAGATCCAAATGTGAACAGCGAACTTAATGTGAGCAGCGAAGCAAATGCAGAAGTTGATGTTGAGGATTCCCAGGAAGGGCTTAAGCGAAAACGTGGTCGGCCTTGTAAAATGCAGGACATTCCAGAATCACAACCGGAGACCACAGCTCTTAGTCAAGATGATACTTATAAAAGCAAGCTTCGCCAGCGATCTGTTAGTGAGGGTGGCTATATTCGACTGCACAAGGGTACTGAAAAAAAGCTGCAGAACAGAAAGCCAGGCCCCAAATCAGCTATCCAGCAGGTATAAGTCTGCTCAAAGTCTGTTTTTTTTTTTTAAAATAAATGGGTGGGGGAGACAGGACTATCTATAAAAATCTTGAAGTTTACTAATGCATTTTTTTCCTTCTGGCAAGCCCACAAAGTGATATTATACTAAGACTTTAAAGAACCTAAAACCATATATACTGTATATCAGCTGTACAAGAGAAAGATTTTAATTTTTCTGTTAATATAACAATTACATGTAGCTAAGCTGATTGGAATGGGGGCAGATGTTACCGCAAGAGAGGTAGCTGCATGATATTGTTAATTAATTAAATGTGTGTGCCACCTAATTCTCTATTGACAGCGGACAACAATCAAATAAAATAAAAAATGGCAAGTGGGACAAATAAAATAGAATGAAGCAAGAAATCTCACTCCTTCACTAAAGATGTGGGTAAAAAACTAGGTCTTCACTGCTCTTCTAAGCAATATCAGAGGGGGGACCATCTGGATCTTGGTAGAGGAGACTTCATTTCAAAGAGCAAATGTTGCCACAGAGAAGGCCTTTCTCTGGTCTCAATATGTGACATGATTTAATCAAAGGAATGCAGAGCCCACCAATCTTGTAAGATTAACTTAGTTAGGCAGATAGTATGGCAAAGATTTATTTACTTCAAAGATGCTTAAGAATTCAATGCTGTATGTGTTATGGGCATATACAAAAATTGTGTATACAGATTATATTCTTTCAAACATGTTTTTTTTGTATTCCATCAAATACAGATATAAATTTTTAAATACATTTAAAATTTATTGAGATTGATTGAATATTTTTGTTTCCTATCCCTTAGATAGAACTAATAAGATATATTTACCAATTATCAGATTATGCTGTATGTAAGAGGCGTGATTTAGCTAAACTGGTGGACTGGGAAGTTAAATATGACTGAGTGGAATTTGGATGAGAGATTTTCAGGAAAGATCAGAGCCATGAGTTGCATTGCGCTATTTTTGAAAATATGATACGAAAAGTAATAGCAACTAACTTGTTGCCATTCTATACTGTTAAAATACCAACATGGTTATGTTCATTAAGACACGCGAAGTTAACTCAAAAAAGATTGGCTTTTCTGGTCATGTATTTTGGTTCTCTGCAGGTAATATGTTTGAGTTGTTGGTTCTGTTTTCTGTATAACTAATATTAATGTTAAATATCAATTTTTTAATCAGGTTGCTATGAAGCTAGTGCAAAGAGGCAAGAAGATGAAGCAACCCAAAAGAGAGATTATAGAACACAGTGAGGCAGAAGCTCAGCACAAATGCAGTGAATGTGGGATGATTTTCCAGAGACGCTATGCTCTTATAATGCATACATTGAAGCATGAGAGGACGAAAAATTATAAATGCCCAGTAAGCACTTGGTAAAATGTATTATGAGTAAAGATTCCTATGATAGTGTTAACATATTCTTTGAATGCCAAGTTTCTCTGATGGAGTTTAACCTGATAATGGTTCTTGAACATACACTTCAGTCCTTATTTTATAATGATCAAGATCCATGGTTTGAAGCATTACTTTGCAAGTGGGTGGCCATTTCCAAGTCTGGGAAACGTAAATACAGTTGATTAGACACAGAGTGGAAAGTTACATCTTTTTTATCTTTTGATTGAAATATACACATTATCATTTCAGTTATATACTACACACACACACACACACATACACACACCTACCTTTAATAAGATTTCTCACAAGAAGTCAAATATTTGTTTCCTTAGCTATGCAAAAAAGAGTTCCAGTACGGTGCTTCACTGCGAGCTCACCTTGTTCGTCATACCCAAAAAAATGAAGTGACTGTTGCAACTGCTAATATAGAAGAAAGTGGTGCTGCCACGAAAGGAAGAACTAAGCGAGAATTTATCTGTGATATATGTGGAAGAAGTTTACCTAAACTCTATTCTTTGCGAATCCACATGTTGAAACATACAGGTGTAAAGCCACATGCATGTAAGGTAAAAAAAAAAACCAATTTCCTTCACTGCAATGTTAATGCACTCTGGTTAATACATTTCTCTATTAATGCATTTCTCTGGTAGAAAGTAGGTTTTGGAATTCCTTTCCTCCAAGGTCCAATCTGTTTCCTCCTGAATTTCAGGAGAGCAGTTAACATCTGTTGTTTCATATAGTGCAAGTAGAAGGCATACTGTGATAAAAGTCTGACATTGACAAGTGCATGATTTTGCATATTTCTGCATATTTCTAATATTTTAAATGCTGTTTATATTGTAAGTAGGCTTATTTATTTTTGAGAGGATTGTTTTCAATCTATGGAATTATTTTGACTGTTAGTCTCCCAGACTCTTCAGGTATGGAAAACATTGTCAGTTCATAGCAATCATAGATAGAAAAACTAACATAAAAAAAGAATAATTTGTATCTCAAGTGAGAACTCTGGATTGATTGATTTATTCAGCAATCCATTTATTTGTTTTCTTGGCTGTGCATCTCCCCTAGCAAAGTAATCTAGTTACCACCAGGCTTTGCAAAATCCAGATGACCACTAGATGGCTGCAAAAAGTGGGTGTTTTTGATGTCTTTACTGTCGTTAAGCAGTTGTATGGATTTTGTGCAATTCAGATCTCACAGCCCTTATCTAATTTTTCCAAAGAATGCTAGCCCTAGGGAAAAAAATGTCAAGTACTTATGGATCATGCAATATAAGTAGATTCAGTGAAGCTTTCTTCATCTTAGTGTATTGCTGTTCATCTTGAAAGACAATATTATTTTTGTGATGTTGTTTAATAGATTTGTGGAAAGTCATTTACCTACAAACATGGTTTAAAGATGCACCTTGTGTTGCATGAGGCACAAAAGCAGTTTAAGTGTGAATCGTGTGACAAGTCCTTTGTCACAAAAAGAAGCCTTCAGGAGCATGTAAGCATTCACACAGGTAAATGACGCACATTAATTAATGCCATAAATAAAATAATGTAAAAAGAACTATATTGACACTTCTCAATCTAATGGGTTTCCTCTTTCACTTTATTTCTATAATTTGATACTTCTAAAAAAC